ATTTCAGCCTGACGGAGCAGCCTGCCCAGGGGTGCCACCCCTATGCCTGATGGAGTGGGCAGCAATACAGGAATCCCAGCCTCAGCACAGACCCTGCTCTCCGCTGGCCGCTTGCGCCCTTAGCAGAAGCTGTTGCCCTCCTCTGAGACAGACTTGGGGAATTACCAAAGGAAGACCCTGCCACCGTTTCCACTACGAGTTTCTCCTCCAGGCTGATCGCTGGTTTGGGATTCATGGGCCAGCACTGGTAGGCCACATGCTCACTCCCTGCCGCCTTGTCCTTCTTCTGGGCTGGATGCGCTGCCAGAATTGCGCAGCACAGAATCCCTCCCTTCCAGCTCTAAAGCGATGCTGTTCTTCCTCCCCTCCTGGACAGGTCAGGGGGATTGTCCCCTCCCTAGGATTGGCCTGTGCTTGGGAACAGACACCCCAGGGCATCCACGGCCATCACTTCTGTCACCCACCTCCTCCTACTCTGCTTCTAACATCAAAACATCACAACATGCACAGAGAGTGGAAAGGGCTGCCAAGCCCCATCTTGTCGCCCCCAACCCCTCCTGGGGACAAAACAGATAGGCAAGGGCATTGAACAAGGCTGGCAGGAGTTCGCAGGGCTCACCCAGCTGTCTGCCCTGGACTTTAACAGCTTTCAGTCTCCTGCCTGGCTAGAGGACTGTCCCAGCTCCTGAAGAAATGCATGGAGATCAGGTGGGGAACCACCTTCCTTTGCCCTCAAGCAAGCCCCAGCCCTGTATGTGGCTCTGAGAAGAGCACGGTGGTTCTGTCTCTGCCCCAAGGGCCGATGGATGGATGCCAGTGCTGCAGGAGCCAGTCCCAGGGATGCTACACAATGCTCCTGCCAAAGGCAGGCCAGGGCCTCTCTAGTTCTGGTTAAGCTGCAATTGCCCCAAGCTGTGGCTTGAGGTGGACACATCAGAAGGGAGCACAATCTTACAGCGACCTGGACAAGCTGGAAGAGTGGGCTAAGAAGAACAGTATGAAGTTTAACAAAGACAAGGGCAAGGCCCTACACCTGGAACAGAATAACCAAAGAGCCCAGCTCAGGCTAGGATCTGTATGGCTGGGGAGCAGCCTTGCTGAAAGGGACCTGAGGGTCCTGGTGAACAGCAAGCTGAACGCGTCCCTTACAACCTGGGCTGTTCTATGATTCTAATAAGGACAAGGCCCCATGCTCCTCTGCCCAGCCAGAGGAAAGGTAATGGCAACTTTTGCTAACAGGGACCCACAGCTCTGAGCTTATGTGCTACTGAGAACCCCAAGTGAAGCAGGAGGCAGATGACATTGTACATGGTGAGCAGTCAAATGAATGTGGTTCATCTTTCCAGTCAGTGAGAAAGACTCCAGCGAGCTTTCCTGAAGTCCCCTCTAAAAAGACCTGTAAGCTTGAAGCAGGAGTGTTGGCTTGGACAACTCACCTTTAATAGAGTTAAGAATTTCTTGAATTCTCTGTGGCTCATTGCGGTCTGGTCTGCAGCTTGGTGTGATCTCCAGCACATAATCAGGACCGTACTCCGTGAAGAACTGCAGGGAAGAGGAGAGGAGAGTGAGCCAATAGGTCTCTGGCTGGCTGAGGCTGGAGGGAGGGCTCCCCGTGGGTACCTGTTGGTAAGAAGGCAAAAACATTTTCTCTGTCTGAGGGGCACATGTAGTTTAACTACATCAGAGGTGCTTCTGCAGTGTCTGTGCCCACCTGAAGTTTGCAGCCACTACCAATTCAAGGGCTTGGGAAGCAGAGCTCAGTGGTGCAGCCAAAAGTAGTCTCATATCTATCCCAATGCTTTATTTGAGAAAGCTGTTGACACTCATTTTACATGTGGTTACCTGAAAAACTTATTTTTTTATGAACAAAATTCAAGTGCTGCCTATGAGATATCCTTCCTTTTGGCTCCTTGCCCCACCTTGCAGAGCACTGCATTGACATGACTGTGGAACATGTGGAAGGAGAAAAATCAGTGTGCTTCAAGGTTAATAATGTGTCTTTCCTGGCTGAGTGCTCCAGCAGTGTGCAGCTGAGCCTGAATGAGAAAATCTGCAGCACATGGGCTCTACATGATAATGCAGAATCATAAATTATTACCAGCAGGTTAATATCACAAGCATGCAGTGCTGAGCAAAGGAGCAGACACACCATGGTTAAAAACTCAGTGGTGAAGTTGCAGTCGGTCCTGTTGCTACCCCTGGAGAGTATCACCTCATGGAGAGCTAGTCCAGACCCAAAGCTATTGTACCAGAGATAAGGAAATTCACAGCATTATAGTCTTCCAAGTGATTTAACGATGCTGGGGTTTTCTTTAAGTGTGAGATTGGCGGTGCCAGTTCTGGCAACCCAAGACCAACAACTCTGCACTAGCAGGGGCAGTGAGGGCTTCTCCAAGGAGACCTCTATGCACCTGTACTGACAAGGAAAATGAAGTGGCTCCTGAATGCTGCATGTTACAGTCCAGCATTTGAAAGCAAACCCGAAACCACGCTGGGTTTACCAGCCCGCGAATCACAGCATTAAGGAGCTACCTGCTCTGTAAGTACATCAGCTATTCACACAGACTGGACAAGGCAGCTGGGTCAGGGCAGGCAACGTGCTGCCTGCCATGCTGCCTGCCAGACTTTTTTGTGGGCCAACATAATATTCCACTGAAAAGGGAGTAAAAGGCAGATTTTGACAGTTGCACCGGCTCATTTGTGCAGTGCTCTGTCACTGTAGACCCAGCCAGCTGATTTAAAAAATGGAAAAATCTTCCCTTTTTAGTGAGTCAGAGTCCTGCTTTCAATGCTGTGAGAATGAGAGCCCATCTGTCACCCAAACAAACATGGGGCAGCAGGAAGCTGCTGCACATTGTGGCTGCTCTTAGCTCATTAAAAAATTACCATGACTATTCAGATCAGAGCTGGACCCAGGGCCAGCCTGAATGAGAGTTGAACCCAGCTGTATTGTGCAAGCATGGGAGCACTTGCTTAGCTAATTAGCAGGCTAGCCCTCTTCCAAACTTCTCTGTGGTCAGCCCAAGAACTGATGTATATTTTTCAAACAGACTATTTTCACAGTTTTCTTAAGTAATCTCCTTTATAGCTCAACATTTTCTTTCTTCACCTCTGCCCAGAGATGACTTTGGAAAGTCCCTGATGAATTACTGACACGAGAGGATAACACTGATAATTTTCCTGCTTAGGAAGACTGAAAATGCCTACAGCAGAAGCAGCCAACACATTTTGGGAAGTCCTCACTGAGAGCTGCTGCCTCTAGTCCGGTTTGAGTTTGCTCTTGTAGTGTAAACAGGAGACAGCTACTCCCAGAGCATACAGGCTCCACTGGCAAAGCCCACTGGCTCCACAAACCAAGCAAGCTGGCTTATTTGCAGGAAAAAAGGAAACACACATACAATTTTGACTGCAGCATCCGTAAAATAGCTTGTGGAAAATGCACACTTCTCAGTAACTGGTGTCGGCTGCACAACCTGCTGGTTACACAGAGAGTGGCACGGCAGACTTTGTACCGTGAGTCTAGCACATCCAGCCTGGGAAACGAGGCACAGTTAGTCCTGACGAAGGCATCATTTTGCACTTCCTCATCCTCTGATCTCTGTGGCATCAAGTGAAACAGAGCACCAATACAGTTTCATGCAGCTGTTTTTCAAAGTCTGCAGCAGAATACCTGGACTTTTGCACTGATGTGCTTTATGGCAGTTGAGAAGCTTTTGGTATTAAGTAACTAATATCCTGTAGAGCAGCTCCATGTGCTGAGCTACCCAGTGGGGGTTGCAGAGAGCACAGTCACACACAAGAGCTTGGGGTCAGCTGGGTTTTACACCATCCACCAGAAAGCAGGTCAGCAGGGCAAGCCTGGTAAATCTTGAACAGGCTTGTCCAAGAGCTCTGCTGCTGCTGGTCTGAAGCAAACAGCCCAGCTGTTCAACACATTCCTACCACTCTACTGCGTGTTCCCATGCAGGTGGCAGGAGAAAACACATGTCCAGTCACCCCAAGTCACAGACTGAGACGCAAACCAGCAGGGCACAGGGGCAGCAGCAGGAGCCCCTGTCTACTTCTGTTGCCTTCTACTGGTGGTAGGACGGCCAGGCAGGCAGGCAGGCAAGGGTAGGACCACCTCTCATTGCCACAGCTAGAGGTGCTTCTAGTCTCTGAGGAAGCACTAATAAAGGAAATTCTTTCAACCACTCATCAACTGACAAAAGCAACAAGCAGCACCTGGGAATCAGCTGAGTTTTGACCCACGACAGGCACCCAGAGAGGCAAATCCACCAAAACAAAACAGTAACGTCCATTTTCTCTTTGAGGTGGGAGGCTTAAGCCTCAATATTTCTGAAGACAGTACAAAAGAGCCGTTTGTACAAGCACCTTGCATCCACTCTCTTGTAGCCTGGAGGGGATTCAAGAGGTGGTTTTCAGTGCTTCAGAAGAGACTCATTCTGTTTCTTCAGCTCTCAGAACAAGGAGGATGTTACAAGCAGGCAAGCTTCAGCAACAACAAAATGCCCGCACTACTCACTCATCCATTTATTTGTAGCAGGGGAAAATGTATCTTTTTCATCATTGAAAAAAAATCTGTCATTTTCAGGGATGAAAAAAACAGTGTTGAGAACGAAGACTCGCAAGGAAAGCTAAAAATCCTCTCCTTAATCAGCAGCTTACCTGAAAACTCACAACCGCTGCCTTTTAAAACTCAGGCATGCCAAAACTGAGAGAATCACAAATGTCCGATGTGCAATCCTAAAGCTCTGAGCAGGCCAAAAGGAGCTGAAGTTTAAACCAGAGGGAGGTATACCTGGGACTGCAAATGTCTTCCCTCCCCCCAGCAGGGTGTCCCAGAGAATGGAACGGTGCCCAGTGTAATACCACGACTGCAGAGTACTTTGGTGGTCTGAAAGAGAGTGGGAGTAATGGTTCAGGAGATGGGGATGTGGAATGACTGCAGGGAAAGAAGTGTTGGAGGAAGAAGAGTGGGGGGGGGGGGGGGGGGAAGGCAAAAAAAATAATGTTCTTAAAGGGGAAGGATATTTTCTACTGAATAATGCCAGATCTGCCAACAAGTACTATGCCAACAGCAAAAAAATTAGGCATCTTAGGAAAGTCTAAATTCTGTCCCTGATTTGAGTACAAACAGTTCATTGGTGGACACTGCTCTGCAGGGGGACCACGACCACTGCACCGTCAGAACTGGATGTTCAAAGTTCTATGTTGGTCCTTCCAGACATCCCAAGACTTCCTAAGACTAAATAATTTAAACTGCTGCTTAGTCAAATGCTTCCTGGATCTCAAGACCACAGTGTTGTTTTCAAGCCCTTCTATACAAACTCATGAACAAAAAAGAACCACCAAAAGACTTCCACGTTTCTGAATATTGACTTACTTTCATAGTAACTTGATTCCAAGACCTGGAGCTGTAAAGAACATCCCCAAACCCCTCAATGCTGGAAGAGAAGCAAAGTGCTGAATATAAATGGGTAGAATTTGGTCTGTTATCACCAAAGAAGCATGCCAAACCTGGCCAATGGAGAGAAATACATCGAGAGCAGCACAACCTAGCCACTTCGCAGCAAGGCGCTTCAGCAATGATCTGACCCAGGCCACACACTCTCATGAGTTTCCTTCAGGAGGTGAGCAGAGCCCTGGGGCTGTACAGCAGGAAAGCTGTGCCTGGACTGCCTTCAAGCTGCTTACAGTCAGGAATTCCGCACTGATCTCAAAAAGCTGGCTGGTCTGACAGCTCAGTTTCCAGGTCTCATATTAATCAGAATGGGAATTCCTATTTAAAGCAAAGACGACACAAAATCAGGAAGTACCGAACTTTGTTTCTGTGCACAGGTGCTGATAAGCTATTAAACCATTAGCGGTTCTTTGCCAGCAGCAGCAGAAAAAAACCCTGGGAATCTGACAAAAAGACATGAGCCCTGTGTGCGCACAAATGCATAAGTACACATAGACAGAAAGCACATGCTGTTTCCCCTTCAGATTATCTCATAGCTGTGTAAATATTTCATATCCACTAGCCTCCAAACCAATTCTCCTCCTTCATGATTTTTACCTCCAACAAATCTGCTTCCACCAGTTTACCTTAAATATGTCAACCCATCCCAACTGCACAACACAGGCAGCCTGGAACATCTCGTGGAAAGATTAGAGAGGGTAAAATATACTGATGAGAAGGACCTTAAAAATATACAAATCCAGTCAGCTGTAGCTTCTCTGGGAGTTTTGGTTAGGAAGCTCTGCAGGATTAATGCAAGATGAGGACATCTCATTCCTAATTACAGAGAAACAGACTGCCCCACAAAGTGCTAGCCTGGAACTTGCACTGGCAGCAAGGTGAGGAACTACACTACCTTCGACTAGTTCCATCTACAGGGGGAAAAAAGCCTTCTCTAAATGAAATGACTCATGGAGTGAGAGAACAGAATTCCCATAAAAATGAAGGGCCGCATATTAAATACATAGTAAGACACTCCTTCCCCTGAAAATCTAAGGTCTGTAAGGTTTAAACTAACTTATCAGGTCAAAAGTCCAGGTGTGAACATTACATGGGAACGTGCTTCGTCTATGCTCCAGAATAAGGCAATGGCAAAGCGCTGGCACCTGACTGCTCTGTCATGCTCTGATGCGAGATGAGCCTGCTAGAAAAGATAGAAAGTGTACTTTAAGTACCACGATAATGCGGAATCCTCTCACCAACCAAGCCTTACGTGTTACCAATGTGACAAATACAGAGACAGCAGGATACTCCTTGGCCATATATCACAGAAAACTGGAAGAGCACCCAGAGAAACTCTGTGTTCACACTATTCTTTATACTCGTCTCCCTGCATCTGCTAGCGGCTACTGCAGCAGAGATGAGACAGAGACCGACAGCTTCCTGGACAATACTGCTCACCTGACATGGTAAAGGAGGTACCATCCTCCAGACTGCGCATTCCCATGCTATTTAAGACCATTGCAACACATCAAGCGAGTGAAGTCCGGGCCAAAGGAGAAAGAAACACACTTGCACTGGACATAACCATGACACAACTGTTTCTTGCAGCATGTAGGAGAAAAATCTCAGATGCACGGTTTGGGAAGAAAGCTCTTGTGAGCTGGGAAGGGGAAACGGCTTTTGCAACAGAGGGCTCAGCTCCACTTCCCAATTCTCTTCAGCTCTGCAGAATGGCTGTTACCTTTTGAGAATCGCTGTCTTCTGGGCCAGGTGCCCAGCTCACCACCAGCTGAGTGGCCAACAGCACGTGCCTCAGCGCACAGGCAAGAAACAACAAAAGGGCTTCACTTACAATCAGGGCTTTGTGACAGCTTTCCTGCCCCTCAGTCCCCCCAAATGCAAATGGTCTCATTCCCTGCCCCAGGCCCCTTGCATCCCCTCAGAAAGTCCTGGCCTCCTGTTCGCTCACTTCTGGGAGTAGTGGCAGCAGTTGGCGGAGCGGAGCCGAGGTTGGTCAGCAGGTACAAAGCGCTTTTTGTTCCCTTGACAGGGCTGAGCTGCCACTTCTCCTGCTTCTAACCCTCCTGGGGTCCCTGGGAGAAGGTGCAGGGGCAGTTCAGGAATGTGACTGTGTTCAGTTTGTGGTCTCTTAGCAGGGTGACAGCCTGCCTCTTTGATACTCGGCCATGAAAAGCACATAGAAGACTGAATTCAAGAATTAAGACCTTTACAAACTGGCCTGCAGGGTCTCTGTCTGCCCCAGGACCTCCTCCCACAGTAGCAGTGCCCTGTATTATCACCACCCCCTGTGCTGGTCGCTGTCTGGTGGTCCCTTTCACTTAGCTGCCAACACCTCCCTCCCCGATACATTGCACTCAAAAAGTGCCCTGCAAGGACCTATACGCAGTTGGTATCTCACACAAACACTTGATTCCTGCAAGCGCAGCCGGAGAATGCTGTCACACAGAGGCAAAAATCTCCCCAGCTGGGTGCAAACCAGCAACGTTTAACTCCTCCCAGTAAATAACCTTCTGGAGGGCAGTGGGCAGCAGCCGGAAGGCCAGGGCCCATCAGGCTACCTTGCTCACACTGCACAGAAGGATGCTCTGCTCCCTCAGCCTTCCTCATTTTGCAAATCCTGCAAAAATCACACCTTACAAAAAGAGCTCAACATTGATTATGAAAGTGTTTAACACTAGTTTACTGATGCTTCATTCCATTTGGACACGGGGATTGAGCACACCCTCAGCAAGTTTGCAGATGACACTGAGCTGGGTGGAAGTGTTGCTCTGCTTGAGGGTAGGGAGGCTCTACAGAGGCAGCTGGACAGCCTGGATCCATAGGTTGTGGCCAGTTGTATGAGGTTCAATAAGGCCAAGTGCCGGTTCCTGCACTTGGGTCACAACAACCCCATGCAACGCTGCAGGCGTGGGGATGAGTGACTGCAAAGCTGCTTGGCAGAGAAGGGTCTGGGGGTACTGGTAAACAGCCGGCTGAATATGAGCCAGCAGCGTGCCCAGGTGGCCAAGAGGGCCATGTTAATGTTACCTTGTCTGGTTTGTGAGTTGTTCTGGGGGGACTAAACAAGGCTAACGAGACTTTATATACATCTCATTTAGCGTGACCAAGACGACAGAGCACAACTGCACACAAGCACCATGGATCAGCAAAGCTGTTCAAAGCAAACATGCTCTATCTGATTTGGATGGCAGACATTCACATGCTGATTCAGCTCCGCATGCTGCACCATCTTTAGTGTTACGCTGCGTGTAATAGCATGAGAGCAAACGTGGGCCAACGTACCCCTTGGCTGCTGGGCACAGCTTCGCAGGCTTGGAGTGAGCTGCTAGCCTAACGCTTCAGTGGGCAAAGTTTGGACATCTCTGTTTCAATGCAAATGGCCTCGCCACATCCGATATGAAAACACGAGGGGGACCCTTACTCCTGGGCAAGTAAATACTATGCTCAGCATTATGAAATAATCCAGTTTAGGAGGAGGGAGGGGCAGGTAACTGCATCAGAGTTATAGTAAAGAAAACAAAGATGATCCTTCAATGTTCTTGTCAAGACAGATGGTTTCAGAAATTGTTGACCTTGCTTGTGGTTCAAGAGATAAAAAACACAGACCAACACTGATGGAAAGAAGCAAGAAAACATTTAAAACTGATAAAGGAAATACTTTGAAAAATTGTAAGCATCAGCCTGTGGGTCTGGCTTTCAGGGTACTTGTTGATACAAACTCCTTAATCATTTTCAAAACAGGATTATAAATGTAAGTGAAAAATAGCATCCAGTGCCATTAGTGAGGTCAGAAACGAAGCTCTTAATGTCCTGCCAGAGGATGTGGGCTAGCACCCCTCTAGGAGAGGCAAAAACTTCACACCCAGCCGGGGACACACACACGTGAAGCAGCCCACAGTGGCGGCTTCCAGGCAATACCACAGGCATGGCAGCCGGCTTGTGCCTGGGTTCAGTGCAAGCCCTGCATGGCTTCAGGGCACTGCATGCACATGGGTATCGTACTGCAGCCCAAAATCTCACCTTCAACTGCAAGGCACTTCCAACCACCAGAAGGCTCTGTAGCAGATAATAATGGGATAAACCCGTTGACAGGGAACACTGCTCTCAATGCCTCTCACTTAGCAGTTCATCAGTGCCTCAAAGCTAGGGAGCACACATCCATTTGTTCTACTACTTAGGAGCAGAGCTGTTAGGAGAGGTTTGTATGCCAGCCTAAGGGCCATGCCTCTGTACTTTACCTTGTGCTGTTCAAACACAACTCCACCACTTCCACCTGGTAACTGAGGGGCCTGGTCCCCAGGGATCTGAACCCCACCGCAGTTAGCTTACCCACTTCTTCCAGGTCCCAAAGGAGATGCAGATTCCCTGAAGGCAGGCTGCTGCTCCCTGCTTACTGACATGAATATCACCATCTTTTAGCTGGTACCTGATCCAGAACCGTTCAACTCACATACCAAGGCTATTTCTTATTACCAAGGTCACTTTATCATCAAGGCTACTTTATTACCTTTGACAAAGCACATGGCCACAGGCTTTAAAATAATCAGACAACTGATCATATGCCAATGTCTCCACGTGTTCTAGCAGAGCATTGTGGATTTCTGACTCACACCCGATTCAGCAAACTCCATTCACCCAAGAGCTTTCTGGCTATGATGAACCACTGCTCCAGCCACTTCGCCCGGCATTCAATAAGCACTGCATCTATACCCCTGATCCTCACCAGCTGCTTTGCTGGCCAACGTCACCACCCCAGAAATGATTCTTACTAAACCATCTCCGTGGTGTAGGAGTTAAGACGCACTTGCTCAAGGCAGGCACTTGGTTTTACAATCCTGCCATAAAAATTCTCCTAGAAGCGCCCAAGTGAGAACAGCAGCACCTGGTGACTGCTTCATCCAAGGCAGCCCACGTTCCCCCTTCCTCTAGCTCATTCCTCTTCAAGTGCTGCATCACAGCTCCAAGAGGCAGGCTAGGCTGATCTCCAGGAACTTGTTCTGCCAGGGTGAGCCTTGAGCAGCTCATCTCATCTCCAGAAACAAACCCACAAGCACTGTTTCGCTGCAAGGGGAACCCAAACAGGCTGGCCACCAGTAGCACCACAACTCACACCCAGCTCAGCTCTGCAGCGCAAGTGCTGGCTAGCCCAGAAGGGGATACAAATTCAGAGAATCATAGAACACCAGGTTGGAAGGGACCTCAAGGATCATCTGGTCCAACTTTTCCCGGCAAAAAATTCCTTTGAAAAGGAGCAGCCAGAGCATGCAGGGCCCCACTGTCGGACTAGTGACATCCGGCAATCAACTCATTCCCACACTGCCCTTACCCTTCAGGGGGCTTAGTGCAGGAATCATTAACACAACAAATAAACTGTTCAGAGCAACAACAACAGGCAAAACCTTTAGCAGTTAATTCCTACAGAGGCACCCACCCTTTTCCCTTTCCACACATACAAAAGATCTAGTCTTGTTTAAAACCTGTTTCTGCAGAAAGGGATCATAATTAAGTACTACACCTCTCAAAAAGCATCTTGTATCTGTAATCACCAGTTTCTATAATGATGAATTTCCAGTTTCAATACACACACACACTAGTCCATGAGATCCTTAGACAAAGGCAAAACCATAAACCTCCTCTGTAGTCACTGTAGGCTTAAACTGCTTTGCACGTGCAGGTGTGTTTCTGTAGGGTCAATAACACTGATCTGCAGTTTGAGACCTATTATGAACCTACAGTTATTCCACCCAAATTCCATCTAGATTGGGTCCCTCCAACCAGCTGCCCAGCCCCGTTCCAGACTAAAAGCACCAGCACTGGAACCGAGACAGCTCATATGCGATCGTGAACAGCACCCGACCCATGGCCCGCTGAGAGACTGCTGGTCAGAAAAGCTTCAAAGCTGCACCTGGCACTTTTTGTAAGCCGATGAAAGCAAGGCTAGATTTAAAGCCTTGAGAAAGGCCCGACTCTTTCCTGGCAAAACTATGTGCACATCCTAAAGAGCTCTTTGAGCAAACAGGCGATTCCCCCTCCCCATCCTCTCTGTAATTACCCGAGACTGGAGTTTATTGGCACCTGAGATCCCTTGCAAAAAGATGTGGACAGCCTCAGGTTTTGGAAACAAGCACTCACTATGCTGCTAGGACAGTGCGTTATTGTTACTGGAGCGTCTCAACAAAACAGTATTGAGCGGCAAGGATGCTGTTTGGAATAGGTAGAACGACTCAGCTCTCACACAAGGAAAAGGGAGGGTTTGTAAAGCTTTACCTCATGATCAGGGATCTCAGAGGACAGTGTTCTCCCAAGGATGACCCCAGTCAAGTACGTCCAGCAGCGAGCTGTATTGGCAAGGTTGTAGCCTCCTGTCTCCAGCAAGAATTGCGATTTTGGAGGCGGAAGAGTGGGGAAAGGGAAGAGAGAGGGAGAGAGGTTTTAGTGGAAGGAACAAGTTGAGGAGGCAACATACGCAGTTCATATGAATTCAGCTTATTTCATCCACTCAAGCTGTGCCCCAAAACTGCATTTTGCACTTGCTGGCCACACAAGGCCAGGTCTGAATGACACTGTATGCAAGGGCGGACCTCCCAAACTGAATCCCAGTTACACCCAGTGTGGCACAGGCCAGGCTCCTCCAGCCACCATCTCAGACCCAGCATGAGCCCCCAGCCCCATGTGCTGGGCTCTCTCCTGGCACAGGGTCTTCAAAGGTTAACAGGGAGACAAGTGCAAGGGCAGCAGCGGACATGGGGGATTCCCGCTTTTTAATGCCAGCCTTTGGCCCATAAAGCATAATACACGTGCCCAGCCATTCCCTGCTGAGCTCTTCAGCACTGTCACATTTGAGAGGACAAATATGAAGCTCATTGGTACAACTTGCGACTGATTTACAAGTAAATGAGGTTTCACGGTCAGTATGGTAATAGTCCCCTCCGTTGTAACGGTACATGAGCCCACAAGGAGAAACCTTAGCTAAAAGCAATCCTGCAAGAGACTCAGAAGTTGTTTTTTTTCCAGCAAAGACGACTAAAATAGTAAGAGAGAAAACCACTTTGAAAAGACCATATTTTTCAGTGTTCCCTTCTCTTTGGGTTGCTTTGGGGTTTTTTTGTTGGGGTTTTTTTTTTTTGCAAGTATTGACTCCTCCCCCAATTTCCACTTCAAATGGTTCCACAAGCTGCACTGGTGGGACACTGCTTTGGTATGGCCACAAGTGACAAATAGTTGTCCCTCATTTTTTGACAAAAATTTTGGGGTTTCTTTCTGCATGAAAGGTGCCATCCCCAGCATACCCACAGACATGCCACAGCAAGATTCAACACCCATAACCTTTCCAAAACAAAGTGCATTACGTACGTGAATTTTTAGGCTTAACATGCTATGCCTGATTCTCCCCATCTCAAAAAGGACAGCACCTAGAGCTGATATGGCTCCAGGCACAGAGCTAGGGGACTCTCCCTGGCACACAGTGACTTTTGTTTTTCTCAGATGCTCTGTTGCATAAAGCCTGTCCCGTGCTCTCCCACTGGATAAGCAGCTGGTTATGCAGCATGGCAGAGCCAAGTCAACCTCAGCTTTTGCTGGGTATCAGAGCCCTGCTGTACCGTGCAGGCAGCCAGTCCTTTTCTCAAGCCCCTGCTTGAATCCAAACAAAATCATTCATCACGAGATGCCTGAGCTAGGTAGGTTTGGGAACACAGTGCTCACTTTTAAAGAGAAGCACTGAAGGACTGATCAGCAGAGATGGGAATCAGAGGTGCCACTGAGAAGCCAGGGTCAGTTCATCAGGGTTAACAGCCTCTGCTCTTCTCTGGAAAAGTCAAGTAGCCTTTATCTCAAGATCTTAGGGTCAGGATTGAGACTTGCACCCGTCAGTATCAAGGATTTCAGGTCTGTGTGAAAACAGCACCGCACCAGAGAGTGCCCTCCCAATGCTGCCCAGCAGTCACCCTGCTAAACTCCACTCAGTGACAAGCCCAAGGGCACACACCTGAGGAAGGGTCACAGGAGGACAAACCCATTTCCTTGTGAACAGCAGGACACGCGTGCACTCACCTCCTCCCAGGATGAGAGTTGCTAGCTGCCACTGCAAGACGTATTTCAGGCACTTGCCCACTCCCTCGGGCGTCATGTTGAAAGAGCACATAGGATCTCCAGCAATGGTGTCTGCCCCCAGCTGCAGCACAACCGCGTCTGGGTTGAAGGCGGCGTACACCTCCTTCAGCACGCTGTGGAGAGGAGAGAAGCAGTGGGGGTTACCGCAAACACAGCTCAGAAAGATGCTGGTGGCATGGCCCTGGTCCCACAGATCCACCGATGCGTCTCAAGGTTTCTGCATTCTCCGCTCCCACCCCCCTCATGCCAGTTACACTCCCTCTGCTCCCACTTAGCCTTCTGCCTCCACTACTCCCCTGCAAAAAGTTTAGCTCTCAAAGCGCTAATCACAAGGTTGATGAAGGCAAAAGCATCACTGAGAACACAGGGGAGGGGGTTCCAGTCGCGATCAACTCAGTGGTAGCATCAAACCACACGCTTACATTGCCCACCCTGAGCAGAAGGGCTGCAAGCCAAATCCAGGGGCTTTTCTCCCCTGTAAAAGTCACGGTGAAGAGCAGGGTCTGGTTAAACAACAATCCTAAACTCTCAGGCACCTCTCGCCAGGACAGGATGAACAGAGGAAGGCTCCGTCTAGGTTCTCACTCTCCTCTCTCCCACATGGCTCTTGAGGCAGAAATACATTTCCCCTGGCTCTAGTGGATGCTGGGGTGCAGCAGGGCCAGTGTCCTGAAGATAGTTTATTAAAGTATTCTCTCTTGCAGTTAGGCATGTCAGACATTTGGCTTTGCTCCAGGAGATTTTTAGTATTACAAACACCACAAAGGGAATAATCCTGTTCCCAGGACTGTGCTCCAAAGCCCAAAATACAAGGCAAATAATGGAGAAAAACATGTTCCTTTCACAACAGTGTTTTTATTTTGCTAAAGTAGAAACAGATGGGAATAAATGCTTTTGCCTTGGTTAAGAGAACCTATGCATCGCCAGTTTTTATTTGATATGTAATCAAAAACCACTGCAGTGCCAAACAAGAGAGCTGCTTCCCCATAACAAAGAGCTTGCATTTACCAGCACTCACCCCAAGAGCCTTAGCCAGCCACCGCACCCAGACAAGGAACCTCACTGAGCTCAGTGTGGTCTGCCAAGGCAGATGCCTGCATTGCTGAGGCCATCAGCTCTACCAGCACCACAAATACAGGCACTGCTGGAAAAAACTCAACCGGTGATGAGAAAACCTCTGGGAAAAAATCACTCCGAGACCATACATGAGAGCCTGGGGAATAACAGGATTTCCATTCAGTATGCATATTAACTCCGGCTGTGGCCGCGCAGCCTGAACATGCCAAGAGCCTGGCCCTAGCACCCCACGTACCCAGCAAGGCCACGTAGCCAACAGCTACTCACACCACTCATGTTTTGATAGGTACCAGGCCACGTTGTCCACACAGTCTCACCAAGGTAAGCAAACTGAGGCAGATGGTGAAAATCACAGTACCAAGGAAAGAGCGGTCAAATCGGCATAAGCTTCCTTCTTGAAGTGGACCCAAAGTCAGCCCGTCTTCTGCAGATGTCAAGGACAAGATGGATGAGAGGGGCTTCCACCTCTGCTCAAGGCTCATGTTGTACTACCCTTCCCTGGAGTAAGGAGGACTGAAACAGCTTTCTTCAAACACTATAAGGCTTCTTGACACCGTCTGCTGCTGATGAAGGCTTTTGTTGCCTGCACTCAGACCTCTGCAAGCACATATAGCTCCTGTGAGCTGTCTCTGGGTCCCTCTTCCCCCATTTCCCTCAGACGTACTTCTCCACTTCTGCAAGACAGGCAACTGATGCTGGCCAATTTAGACAGCTCACTTTTTCCCTAGGAAGCTTCACATTCCTCTTGGATCCACCAGAAACGGGCAGATGCATGTGAAATAACAAGGACAGAGGAAAGGTTTACCTCTTGGTAGCAAAGACTGGGGGTCCCCTGCCCACCCCCCGCCCCTCTCACTGTGCAAGGACAGCCACTTCCACCAAAATGCAATTACTATCATCAGTCCTTCTATTATTTCCCCAGTGAAACTCACTTCAGGCCAAGGCTTCCTACTATTTCTCAGCAAGGTCTCCCAGTGAGGATGAAGAGACTTTTAGCCCATCCCTGCAGGTTTTTGCTGGCTGCATGAGAAGTTTTAAACAAAGTTCACTCTCTCCCAGAGCTTTTCATTTTCAAAGCACATTGCAGACATTACCTAAATGATAAACATCTCCTTGACACGACAGCTTTTGTCTGTAGCTGCTGGGATCTCTGCTAATGCATAAGGGTAGCTTAGCCCCCTTTTGCCCCACGCTGTGCTTAGAACAGCACAACTCTTATTGGTGTTTTAGGAAATCAGAACTGCTCTGCAGTATCAGCCCCATCCAGAGGTTGACAGCCCCTCACACGCATGCAGGCTACAAGCTTGAGCTGACGATAAAGCCAAACTGACCACACAGCAGCAGGTAGTCCCTTACACCCCTCCTTCCCAGCCCCTTCTTTCTGCTCTGATGGAGCTGCTCTGATCCCACAGCATACAGTTTCAGAGAGCTAAACTAGTAGAAAGTTGCTTAGGAGGGTTAGTTTTCTGCTAGGTTAACTCCCTGAACTGGTTCACGGCAAGGAAAAGAGGGGAAAGGAGTGAGCAGCCAAGGATAAGGCAGTGGGAACAGGACTCTTCTCCCCTTCTGGCAGCATCCCTCAGGGAGACCAGCTCAGTCACACCATCAGCGCTCCAAGCCTGTCTGGGAACTTCCGATGCACCTCCCTGCAACGGCAGACTAATCCCAGCTAGAAAACTGACTTTGCATCGAGATGCATCATGAGCATGGCTAAGACCTCTCACTGCCTTACAGCTGCGGGCACGGGAACCTCTGACCACCGACAGCTGGCTCCAGTGGGATGGTACCCCCATCCAGGGCACGGTGCAGCCAGTGAGGACCATGCAATCTGGGCTGTGCACTTATTTGGCACATGTGCAAAGGGGATGTTCTGCCCCCTTTCTGTTCCTGAACTAACAAACAAGTTCAGGGAAGTCTCGTGAGCAACGACACAGGGCCATGGTGACCCCAGCGGTTCCTTTCTGGCCCTGGCAGAGCAGTGCACCAAGGCAGGGCTGCACTGCCTGCCCTTGTAGTGGAGAAGAACAGACGTTGCCAGTTTTCAGACTTCTCCAAGCTCTTTTCTTTCAGCAGTATCCAATTCAGTGCCCCCCCTGCCAGCCCCCAAAGGAAGGAGCTGACAGAGAAGTCACCTTTTGTTACCCGCCGAGAGGTCAGAACAACAGCTAAAACAGTCAGAGCTTGACACGGAGGATGGAAGAGAACGGACTTTTGCAACTGCTCAAGCAAACCCAGAACGGCAGTCAAAATTTCACATCCTCAGTGAGATTGCTGCTGGAAGAGGACTGGTGTCACATGATGTTTCCTCCCATCGGTGCCAGCAGCATGGGGAGGAGCTCCTCAAATTGGACGACTTTCCTTTACCTGGATACACAGGCAAGATTGTGACTTACACCTCCGACTTCCAAAAAGCTGCATCCAAAATCCAGCAAGCAATCAAGTTACATCTGCTATCACCTTAGCAGCAACACATGGGCCTGCCTGCTCCTCCTTCTGCCCACGCTGCAGGCAGACAAGACCCAGAGCTGCCCAGGGATCTGCTGCTCTCAGAGGCAGTGAACGCTCCCCACACCGTCTTCCCTCCTGGCTCCTGTGGGTCTGCCACCCTGCTGCTGACTGCCCCGCTCCATACACATCCCAGCAAGACCCATGATATGCCAAGGCGACAGCGGCACCAGCAAATACCACAAGCCCTGTCCGTAAGCTAAAGAAAGCAGCCAGACTGATTTTGTCAACTGGAAAGTAGGTTTGAGCTGGGGGTTGTGCCCCAACGCCGTGCATACGTAATGCCTGCCAGCACAGGCACTCAGAAAGCTCCATGATCCAGCGGGTTAAATCAGGCCTTTTCCTCAGCTTAAAACTTGGGACCTTTCAAAAGAAAGTAGGGGTGTGGAATTTCCACCACATTTTCACACTTTGGCCTCCTTTCCACACAGCAGCTATTAACTGGAGCCTGTGTCATTCAACTTCCAGGAACGATAGGCAATTATCCGTGTTCCACACCACCTCAAAAGCAGGATAGGAGTTTTATTTACCAGAACAAAAGCAATCAAACCCAAGCACTGTAATTTATAGAGAGGCAAGTTCAGAGCACACGTGCTCTGAGACGCCAAGAGCAAACTTCCTCCTCATTTATTTACTTTGCTGTGCTGCAGCAGCTCAGTCTCCACCACGGCTGCAGAGGCAGCTGTCCCCAGCACCCAGGGAGGTGAGACTCTTCTGCACAGCATCTCCCTGGCTTTTTGCTCCAAGAATGCCTGATCTGGCAGTGCCTCGGCAAGGAGCAGAGGGCTGGCAAGGAGCAGGTCTCCTCTCACCAGCAAGGGGATAGACGAGAATATGAGGAAAGGCTCTGCACAGGGTGCAGTCAGCCTGCAAAAACCTGTGTCCAAAGGAGTAACATGCGCCAATCCCACCACAGGTTTGGGAGGCACAGGCAATCATTCTCAGACATCAGCTGGATGAGACACCCACAGTCATGCCACATGACCGTCTGCCAGCCAGGACAGAACTCTTCCTTGCTTTGTAGATGCTTTGGTTATATGCAGCTTGGAAACCATGGCAGGTTTTGATGTCCTTCAACTGGGAATGCATGCTAAAAAGCTCTTGTCCCTTCTCAAGTCTCTCCTTAAACACATAAGGCTGACCTGTGGCAGAGACGCTCCAGCCATCCACAAATGCCTCTGTGTATTTGGATTGCCTAAGGATTCGGACAAGACCTCTGAGACCTCTTAAGATCCATGTTCATTGTAAAAAAAACTATAACAGGGGAAGGGGCAAGCCTTAATGGAGGACTGTAATTAAAAATAGTAAATAAACAAAATTTGTGCAGTCTCTGCTCTCTAAAATCCCATCCAAGTAAACCGTATCAGAGCAAGAGGGCTTACGTTTCACAGATCTGGTAATATTTCTCATCCTGAATGCCATCTTGAATAGGTACATTCACGCTGTAATAGCGACCTTTCCCCAGGCCAACATCTGTCACATCACCGGTGCCTGAAAAGCAGAAACACCCCATGGTTAATTATGAGGGAAAGGGGATCAGCAGCAAGAGAAATGTGTGGGATGTCTCAGATGAAAGCAGAGGGCCAGGACCTTTGGCATGCTTATGGAGAAGTCCACTTGCCACCACTGCCAATAAAGGAGGGGTTGGATGGACCCGGCTCTCGCCCTCTGCGAAATTCTGTCATGCAGCTTTCAAGGGCTGCAGGTGGCTGCCAGCAGTGGCTCTGCCCCGAGCTTAGCCACAACCAGAAAGGAAGAGATACCAAACATGTAGTTCCCCCTTTTTCCTTCTTCTGGGTCAACAGAAGAGGCAGCGAGACACATCTGCTGGACAGAAGGGACAGGACTTGCCTTTGCTGAGGCCTCACCAGTGATGCGTGAACCGAATTAGCACAAACCTCACAAGTTCAACTTGCCTGGGAAAAATCCTGGCGAAAACTTGTGCAGAGAAACAGTCATGACTTTTGAGGTGAAACTAAAGGCATCTTCAACTCCTATGAGAAAATGGAAGAGAAAAAAGCTTTCATGCATCATTCACATAAATGACAGAGCCTAACCACGCAAATGAGCCACTCAATAAACACAGGGCAGCAAGCAGAGCAGGAACAGAATGAACAGAGGAGAAAACTAGATGTGGCTCAATAAACCCGTCTTTAATCAATGGAGATCCGAATTCCACTGCAGCAAAGGTCACAACTGAAATTAATTTAGCAGGTCTCATGCTAATCAGCACTGAATGCATCTCAACACCTCAGGTCAGTGCCCACATTAGCAGCACTTGCCTGCACTGCTTGGCCTGCAAGACTGGTGGAGGGAGCTGAGCAGGGATGCCTTGGCCAGAGCTTGGCTCTGATTAGAACCAGAGCTACTGATATCTCTCACTTTTTCTCAGCACTGCTGCGGTTCAACACGCCTTTTCTTTTCCTTAAAGACATATTAAAATAGTGAGAGTGGGGAGGGAAAAAGAAGTAACAGGAAACTTAACAGAAACCAAATGTGGGAGGAAAACAGAGCAAAATGAAACACACCATAAAATTTAGGAGAGCAGGAAACGTTAAATTGTGTTGAAATAATGTCCCTGAAGGAGAGAGCAGTTTCAGCAAGGCCAGCTCTGGCTTTAGTTTTACAGCATCAAGCCTCCTTTTAAAAGCACCATTTACTACTGACTGCTTCCCTCTTGCACTAGTGACATTAAACAACTAAATACTGTCAGCAGCCATCCTGCCAGGATGGGAGGCAAGGGACTGGGTGAATTCCTTGCTGGAGAGCCACTGTCAGACGGGATTACTGGAATGGGAACATGCTGTTTGTTGCTTTAGGTACAAGACTGCTGCCCAGACCCTCAAGAGAGATCTGATGAGCAGCACGGGGCAAATCCATAAAGCAGGACAAGGCAGAAATGGATTGAGGGAACTTGACTGCACTGAAAGGAGGCAAAGCCATGGCTGTTGCAGCAGGTAAAACCCTACTGCCCCAACAGGCCTTCACTTCTCCCATTCTTCCCACTGAGTCTGTGTGGCTGTGCTGTTTGCAGCCTGTGCTGGGCCTTACCATCCCCATGATGCAAATCCAAATCAATATAAAGGACACGGTCAAATTTCTGGCGCAGCCGCAGGATCCCCAAGACAGCATCATTCAGGTAACAGAAGCCAGAAGCTTCATCTCTGTGAAAACAATGTCCGTGAGGTTGAAAATCTCCAACGCAATCGCCAGTGATCTCTGTGTTGTCATTTTTGCTTGGCAAGTCTCCACCCCACAGGGGCAAAGAGAAGCCTGGCCAAGGCCCAGAAGCGACCAAGGGACAGGTCAGTAGCAGCTCAAAGCATGGCTGGGAAGCACAGAGAACATGACTGCTTGTGCCAGTCACTTCTCAACCCTGGACTTGCTGGCAGCTGGCAAAGCATCGGTTAGCTCTGCTGCAGAGAGGCCCTGACCCATGGGGGGCTTGGCAGTACCCCTGACCATTTCACTGTTGCACAGATAAAACATTAACTTTCTGCACCTGAGATATTTTAAAGAAGTTCAGAGCCACTCCATCCACTCAAAACCGCTCTCTGCTATACCTCCTCTCCCTCTGCAGCAAGAGGATGGGCCCCTGGACAGTCCTGCTTGGCCATTTTCCTGTGAGTGCTGGGCAGCCACTCTGTCCGTGCTGTCTGGGTCACAGCTCCTGGGAAGGTCCTGGCAGTGAAAGGCAGGTCCAAGGCAGTTGCAACGCTCTGCGGCTCTGTTCCAAATTCTGAGGGTATGAATGTTAAGCCTCTCCCCAAAGCAAAATTCTCCCTTCCTCCCCAGGAAAATGCAAACAGGATGCCACACATGCAGTCCCTAGGCTCAGCCAGAAGAGAGCCCCAGCAGCTAAACAGAGGACAGATGTTGCATGGAAAGATTTATCTCCAACATACATCGGGGGACAGCTTCCATATTGCTGGCATCAAAGGAACAAGAAAGTTTCTTAATCCCTACTCCAGACTCACTTTGAAGTCGTCCCCATCACCACTTGGCACTAGCCCATATGCACTCTTAGGTCAGCCCTGGATAGATGATTTAAACCACTTTGCAACAGAAGTGTCCGAACCCCTCTTCCCCAGGCTCAAACGACTCCAGGATCTAAGATGTGCCTCTTGGAAATGCTTCTTGACTTTCAGCAACAGCACTCAGCTCATTTACCCCAACACTTCCTTGTTCAGCAAGGAGCTGGAAATGGCAAGGAGCAAGCACGGGGTGGCAGAACTGCACTTGCTCTCACTCCCTGCAAATGTCACGGAGCACAGATGCTTCCCAGTGACTCTGTTCATTTACAGTGATGCTGAGAACTGGGACGTTAGCAGGTATCCCGAATATCTTCCTTAAATGTGATTACACACCATACTCCTCCCCTCCTTCCCAGCCTGCAAGGAAGCAAAGTGAACAATGTCATGTCTCTCACCACACTCTCCATGCTGTAACACACGATCGCTTTCAAACTCCAGGCCAAGCAGAGCGGGACACCATCTCGGACAGAGGCTGACCAGCATCAGAGCTGCAGCTCAGGGCCAGCACTTGGGATGTCCCCCTGCACAGATCCACACAGCAGAGCTCAGACTGTCACTGCCGGAAGGGAGGGCAGTGCTGGGTCAAGAAAAGGCACTGACTTGGCCTCTCACCCTCTGCCCCGAAGGCATACCGGTGAACTGGGAACTTCAAAAGCCCCAGACCACAGAGGTTACCATTCTTACCTTTATGACCTTGGAAAGTAACTAAGCCACCAGACAGCAGGTCTTTTATTGACAAAAGGACATGTATTTTGCTAGGACATGGGTCCTAGCACCAGGCACCTGCAGTTGGGTGTCAAGTCTGGCTGGGCCTTCACACTGGATTGGCACTTACCACAGCTGCTGCCCACCCTGCAGCATCCTACACCACCTCACTGGCATGACGGGGAAGGCTCCTTTGGGATCAGTATGTATTAAATGCCTTTTTTTAAAAGGCCATTTGCTTCCCAGAACAGTGCTAACAGCACAGCTCAGTGGCAGCAACACTGCTAAGATTTCTTCTGTTACAGGCATTTTATAAACTGTGCAATCAAGATAAAAGGGAACAGAAGATTCTTAAAAAGCCATCCCAAGAGTAAGAGGGCTCAGCTCAGCCAAGCTAAACTCTCTCCTTTCTCAGCAAGCCATAGCTGAACCCATATTCAGCAAAGTGCGGACCAGGAAAAGGGTCCTGATGAGATGTTGCCATCACTGGAGTTTGCACACCACCGTTACACCTCCAGTGTTTGTCTGCCAGGTCAGAAAAGTTACTGGACCTGTGCACTCATGTACAAGTTGTTAGGGTTAAACATGTGGTTCATGCTAATTTCTGGGGCTCCCCAGGGAAACAGAACAGCCCTGCAAAGGCCAGTTAGGTGGGGGCAAGGAAGAGTGCTGTTTTGTCTGCATTTGCAGACAGGCATCATGTTTTGAGAGATGAGGGACCTAAGTTAAAAACAAAACATACATCCAAGGAAAACAGGAAAGCCATGGAAACAAATTATTTTACCACTACAGAATCACAGGATTCAGGGATGAAGTTTTTGCTTCCTCTCCTGTTGTTCTGGAAGATTGTTATTAACAATATAGCTCAGAGCAAACAGCCACCCACAGAGCATGGGGAAAACCAGAGTTCAGTCCTGCACTTTCAAACCTCTTACTAAGAAACCAAAAAAGCTACACAAAACAATTTGGACAACGTGTTGCCATGTTTCCGTTCTCTTCCAAGTTGGGACCGACACTAATCATTTGCCTCTCCACAGCCCACCTCTATGGACTGTGCAAAATCAATCTCACTTGAGCTCCCAGAGATAACCAAGTATCAATGGATGGCAGGACACCTCTGAATCTACCTGCCCCAGACCGGCATGGCAGTCCACAATAGCACCAGGACTGGACAGTAACCAGCCTACTCTCAGGCCTCTACCCTGAGACACGTTGCCTCTTTCCTATCTACCTCCTGCCTTCCCTCACCCCTTCACACCTTGCTCTCTCTTCCAGCTGGATCACCACACCCTGAGGGTTCACAGGGAAGCTGGGAGCTAGGAGGCAGGGTTCAGACACCAGGTGAGAAAACACAAGGGAAGAGATTGTTTTCTTACTTCTTTGCATGATGCCACCCTCCAGGCCAGTTAATCGCTACCTTGCACTTGCCGTCCAGCAGGCACTGGGCTGCGGTGATGGTGGCTCCTCCCACTGCTGCCGCATACTCAAAGATCCCTTCAGTAGCCGGACAGTCATAACCTGCGGTTAAGAGTCCGTGTGTCAGACACAACAGGCCTTTTCCCCTGGGGGAAGCACATTCTCTTTGTTTTGAGCTTGCTCTCTCTCTCTCTAACTGCTGCTCTAACTTTCTGTTCCAGGCACAATGAAAAGGCCATAGCAGAAAACCCTCACAACAAGCATCAGATTTGGATTCACACAGGAGACTTAGGGGGTGTAAGTAGGAAAAAAATTGTATTGGGTTTGTGTGGCAAGGTTTTTGTAGTGGTGGAGCTGCAGGGGTCACTTCTATGAGAAGACACCAGGAGCTGCGCCCATGTCAGACAGAGACAACTCTGCTGCTGGCCAAGGCTGAGCTGATCAGTGATGCTGGTGGCACCTCTTGTGATAACATATTGAAGAAAGGGTGAAAAATGCTGCACAGCAGCTAGGAAAGAGAAGTGAGAATATGTGAGAGGAGCAGCCCTGCAGACACCCAGGCCAGTGCAGCAGACGGGGAAGGAGGAGCTCCAGGTGCTGGAGCAGAGATTCCCCCTCAGCCCCTGGTGCAGCCCATGGTGGGGCAGGCTGTGCCCCTGCAGCTCAGGGGGGCCTACGGGGGGGGGGAAACTCCACC